CCCTCAACGCTCACCTGGGTGAGGAAGGGCCTAAAAGTTCCCAGCACACGCTCACTTGCCCTCCCTGGTGGGAACGACTGGTGTGCATAGGACCTCAGTGCACACAGAACCTCCCAGGATACATGGAATACCTGGACCATCCTAAAACTGCCCCATGCACACAGGACCCCCTGGTACATGCAGGGCCACTGCATCTCTACTAAGGCTGTGCTTCAGTTGTGAAAATGGATTTTTCTCATGTCTTCTTTGTGCTCCAAGTTCCAAATGTGGCCTGTCTCCTGTGCAGAGGAGGTCTGGTTGTCAGGAACTGAACTGCAGTGGTACTCTGTGCTCCAGGAAAGAAAAGGCCCATTTAAACAAAAGCTTACCCTGCCACTTGGCCAGAGCAGAGACCCACTGGCCAGAAGTGTATGTGTGGTGAGAGGTGCTCCTCTGCCTGGCTGGCACATGTGTGTGCATGTGCACCTATCCATGTACACATGTGCATGTGCATACACGTAAATGTGCTAACACATGCCCTGTGTCTGTGTGTGTGCGCCCACGCGTGCGCGCGCACAGGCAGGGTAGACCCAGGTACATTCTCAATGTATGGCCTACCTGGGCCTGCCCAGGCCCGGCATCAGACTCTGTCACTCACCGTTGGCACAAAGGCCGACCCTGAGCTAGGGACAGGGACATGGACAGGTAACTCATAGATCAGAGGACCCTGGGCCTGGAGGACACTGGTGAGTCATGGGCAGTGCAGTATGGCCATGAAGAGTCTAGTCCACACTGGCCTTGAGGCAGGGCCTCGCAGGAGCCCTGTCAGATCTGTAGCATGAACTCATGGGTGTTTGTCTCCTAGCAGGAGCGATCCTTGTCCAGGATGCTGTGTTCCGTGAAGGTCACCTGGCCATTTGCATGCACAAGGATAATGGTGTTGGTTCTGGTGCCATGGTCTGGGCAGTGCACACACACAGGTGCATACTTGTTTAGTATGGGCTATATGTTCTCCTGGCCCTGGTCCTCAATGTCCAGGTCTGGCAGCTATGCCTCCTCGTTGTTCAGCATGTCCAAGAGCTGGGTGACAAAGGCACCCTTGGGCAATGCCGGGCTCTGCTCCACAGCCTCCAGGAAGAGCTGCTCCCAAAACACAGCTTTCTCCAGGGTGTCTCCAGCAGTGCCGTGCTCAGCCCATAGGTTCCTGGCATCTGTACAATGGGCTCAGGCACCCCCCCTGGTTTCCGTAGTAACAAATGGCATCTCCTTTTGCTGTGCTCAGGTCAGCTGCTCTGAGATTGAAGCCATGTACAGGTGGCCCTCCTGGGAGACCTTCTTCAGGTAAGACAAGCTGCCCGTGTCCATGGTCAGAAAGTTGGTTTCAAGTTCACCTCTGCCATGGGTATCTTGGTCCAGCATCTGTGGGGAGTTGGTGAGTACCCCTCGCTCCCCCCCGGTGCTGATCCCCAGTCACGTGCCTTCTTCCATGTTGAGCCCTTGAACTGGCCATTTTTGGGGAGTTTTTAATCTTTTTTTTCCTGTTTCTTTTTCCTTTCCTTTTGCCTCCTTTCTGGTTGTTCTGTTTAAGTTTAGTTTTTTTCTTGATTTTCTGAACAGTTTGTAGTTTTTTTTGTTGTTATTCTGTTCTGTTCTTGTTTCTATCTTGTTCTTTTCTCTTTCCCACCTGTCTTCTTCACCAGTTTCTTAAAGTTTGTCCTCCATCCTTGCTTCCGGTCTCTTCCTCTTCTTCTGTTTCTGTTTTTTATACCCTAACCCATTTAAAATCTTCTCCCCTGGACTCTGAAGTGGCAATGGCAGAGGTAACAGAGCAGATGAATGAGGCTCACTAAGAAACTTATTGTTGTTCCCCCAGATGTCAGCTAGCTTGGATGGTCTGTGGTAGAATTCATCCCTGTTGGCTGCCAAGATAAGCCTGTATGCATTCTTGGAAACAGGGCACGGATCAAACTTAAAGGAGTTGATGCACATGGGTTGCAAGGGGTAGCTTTTCTCACACAGGGTCACGAAGTAGATTGCAGAAGTTTCAGTCCAGTTTCCCCGGCCACCCACCGGCCTCGCTGCTGCCTTCCTCGCTCCCTGAGGTCACAGAGGCTCTGGGCAACGCAAAGAGGGCAGGTGGGCACGGACAGCTTCTCTGTGGCGGCAATTCTATCAGGCCTGGCTGTCTGGCTCTCGGGCTGGGCCTCCGCAGGCTCTTATGGGCTCTTCTGCAAGGGGCTGACCCACACGCTGCTCATCTTTGACCTGGCCTGGCGGCTGTGCATCAACTTCCCCTGCCTCTACATGGTGGCTTCCATGATGCTCAACGCGCACCTGCGGGTTCATACTGAGATCCACTGAAGGCCATCCCCTCCTGACAGGGGCATCACCCTGGGATCACCACCGCAAAGGACACAAAGCATGGGGGACAGAAGAGGGACCTACGGCACCTGCACAGCCAAAGCAACAGGAGGGAGGGGAGGACTGGGACAGACTGCCGCACAGGCTCGAGAGGAGGGCGCTGAAGGGGAGCCTTGCCTGCAGATTCCCCTTCCCGGGTGAACATGCCTAGGGGAGACAGAGATGGAGATGGAAACATGCAGAGCGAGACGCTATCCTGGGAAGCGGAAGCCGGTCTGAAGGAGGCTGGCCTCTTGCTTCCTACCAGTGACAGGGCACTTCTGAACTGGAAGGTACCCATGGGAAGAAAGTCACCCCTAGTAGCAGTTCCCAGCAAGGCTGTGGGTCTGTCCCTGTCCCTGCATCTGTTCCCGTGGGAGAGTGCCTTGCTGTGCCGTCAGGAGGTGCCCGGGCAGCTCTGCAGAGGGACTGGCCAGGAGGAAGTTGTGAAGCTGCAGACAGCCACAGAGGACGGTGCTGCAGGGGAGAGCCCTGTGCTTAGGCATGGCCTGGCCACATGCAACTGCAGAATGCAGGAGTTTCCAAGGATGACCCGCTAAGGGCTCCTCCCAAGGGGCCAGGCTCTGCGCTGGAACTGTCCTGCCTGTGTCCCCTGCTGCTACCCAAGACTCTGCATGCCCATCCTCAAGGCTCCTGAGGATCAGACAAGATGTGAGCATCTCGACCAGCTAAAGCCTGTGCTCTCAGAGCAGACAACAGAGTACAGGAACATGCTCTCAAGTATACATTGTACCTCCAATGGTCTGCACATAACACCGGGCTTGTTGGCTCTATGACCTTTGAAATTAGCAAATCCCATAGGCTATAGTTAAGGTACAAGCAGAACAATCAAAATCGTACCTTAATTTCAAACGTTGTCTTAGAATGATTTTTTTGCATTAAGTCTGTATGCAAACAGAGCAGCCATTCAGTTCCTGCTTTGGTTTGTATGGCTAGACAAACTATAAAGTACAAGTCTAGTAGAAACTCGCTAAAAGCTAGATAATGCAGAAATTGTTGATCATGTTTTAAATTGTGCTTGAAAGACAAAGAATCTGGAACCCTTTCAGGAGATCATTAATATGCTCAACATAACATCAGCTGGGAACTTGGCTTACCATGAAGTTCTTTGTCTCTAATACTCAATCCAAAGGGCTACGATCCCAGACATTGTCTCTTTAGCCATCCTGTCACCAAATGGAAGTGGTTATTTGTAAAGTTTACCCACTGTACTTTTATGAAGCCTTGCTCAGTTCATGGTGAGCTGTTACTATTTCTGCATCTTGTAAAATAATTTTGGTCTGCAGCAAATTTGATTTCTCCTACTCCTTTCTTTCTACCAGAAATGCAGTTTCAATGGAGGCCCTGTGGTGAAAGTTGCAATATTAAATTTAGAATAGTCTTCTCAAACTAGGATTCCTAGCAGTGTTACCCTAAGAAAAAGGAGCCTGACTCTGCTGTAGCTGAGATATAGAGGCAGAGCAAGTGTTTTCCCTTACGAAAGTTCTGAGACCCAAGCAGTTGAGGCCTCTTTCACACGAAGGCTTTTCTGAAGTAACTTGTTTGTTGATAACTTTAATAAAGATCATTTAAGAGTATAAGTTTTTAAGGACTCCCAAAGTGAAGCTTAAAATAGTCATTTTGGGAATGAGTGCATACATCACTTTGTATTGTGTATTAAATTACTATGCTGTGTGCTATTTTAGTGTTTTGGGAAAATGGAGAATAAAATCTGTTTTTTAGCATAATAAATGTCTTATTTTAACATGTGAAAAAAAAAAAGAAGTTTCAGTCCACGTTCAGCAGACTCCAAGGCAGGGATGACAAATAGGCATGGCAGAGCAGAAACAGTATGGTGCACCCAAGACAGCAAAGGCAACAGGAGATGAGAAAGTCTTTATTGATGAGGGAAAAATAAGCTTTGCTGGTCACGTGCAGGATGAGGTCAGTCGGTGAGCATCTCCACTAGCTCATCACTCTCCCTGTCATTCTCCCTGTCACTAGCTGATTCTGCAGGCTTAGCCTCTTCGCTGGGGTTCCTGTGGGGAAAGGCCAAGGCAGTGAAACTTCCCTGTCTCCTCCCATCACGGGGTCTCCAGGCATCCCCAGCCAGTTCCCTGCGTTCTGAGTGACAATCTCTTCCTTGCCAGGAATCCGCGTCTGGGAGCTTCCCTGCTATGTGCTCTTGCATCTGTTCAGCTAGGCATCCTTGTGCAGTGAACAAACCGCACAACAGTACTGGACTGGAGCATTTTGCTCTCTTTAGCACCTTTCCCATCATCCTGTTCCCACTGAGTTTCATGGGTGTCCTCCTGGGGTGAGGGAGAGGGTGCTTCTATTTTCCTGGCCATTAGCCCACGGTGGACTCATATGAAGCACATGCCAACTAGGGGAGCCATCAAGCTCAAGGGTTTTGGGGCTGTGGCTGTCAGCCAGGGTGAGATGGGAAACTGGTTTAAAGGACTCAGCACCAAAACACGGGACGTCCTTTGTGAGCCAGGACTGGTGGGGCACACCTGTCATTCCAGCACTCTGGGAGGCTGAGCCAGGAGCACTAATTCAAGCCCAGCCTCGGCAGTTTAGCAACTCACTGAGGCCCTGTCTCACAATAAAATAAATATTTAAAAGAAGAAGAAGCAGCTGGGGATGGAGCTCAGTACAAAGGCCCTGTGTTCAATCCCATTAAGAAAAAAAAAAAAGAGGGCTGGGGATTTAGCTCAGTGGTGCTGCCACCTGCCTCGTAAGCACAAGGTTTCATGTTCAATCCCCAGTATGGAAAAAAAAGAGAATAAATCCAAAAGAGCCCTCTGGGGACAGGAGCAGGCTGGAAGCCCCTCTGCTGTCCATGGCGTCACAGCTGACGGGGACAGAGACCCTGGGCACCACCCAAACACAGCACGGTCAGCATGGACACCGGCTGTAAGAGCCGCTTTTCCTGCCCCCTCAGGAGCTGCGTGCCCCTGGCAGGACACCCCCTGCCCCTTCTGCCCATTTCTGCCCCATGAAGTAAGGGGACAAACTCTGGCCCAGAGCTCTCCAGGGTGTGAGCTCGCCCTGGGCCAGGGACAGAACTGGTCACGGGGAAGCAGGGAGCCGGGCTCTGCCTCCCGCCTTCCAGCCTGGACTTCGGCTTCCAAGATTCCTTTCAAGACACCAGGCTCTCATTTACCTTCTGGCCTCTGGATCGTCCACTCTGGCTCTTCTGTGCCGATAACTGTTTGGGAAGAAAAGGCCACCTGAGTGACTAGGCCAGGACCACTGCCTCCTGGCCTGGGCTCGCTCCTTCCCGGCATCCTGCATCTCATCCACCCATGAGACAGCAGCCTTTCTGGGGCCAGAGGCTGTGCTGTTAGCCACTCTCTGCCTCTGCCACAGTGCCACACTAGTTGGGTGTCCAGCAGCTCACACGTGACTTGCTTTGCTTTTGGACTACTGGGGATTGAACCCAGGGCCTGCACACGGAGCTACATCCTCAGCCGTTTTTCTTCGGAGACAGGGTCTTGGTAAGTTGTTGCCCCGGCTGGGGTCAAACTTGCACTCCGCCTGTCTCAGCCTCCCAGAGCGCTGGGATGACAAGTGTGCATCCCCACTCTCAGCAAATTCATGCATGCCTGTGATCTCAGCAGTGGGCAGCTCTGGCAGGACGACTGCAAGTTTGTGCCCAGCCCGGACAACTGAGCAACTTACTGAGACCATGTCTCCAAATGACAAATAATAGTAAGAAGGGATCGGAATGTAGCTCAGTGCAAAGGCTTTGTGTTCAATATTCAACACCACAAAAGTTAAATAACACAAAAAATAAAAAAGCTAAATCAAGAGAAAGAGTAGGATGCCTGTCAGTGCTGGTGCTGTTTATCCTTAACAGAAGGTCCTAGAAGTTGAAAAGGAAGAGAGAAAACTATCATTGTTTGTACAAGAAATGAAGGACCGGGCTGGGGATTTAGCTCAGTGGTGCCGCTGCCTGCCTCACAAGTGCAAGGTCCCGAGCTTGATCTCCAGTACCAAAAAAAGAAAAAGGAATGAAGGACCACCTGAAAGCCAAGAGACTCAAGCCAGACACCACTGGAAGTAGTGTGAGCCTCCAGCCAGGAGCCCGATGCGAAACGAGGAGGCCACTCGCCCCTGCACGGCCTTCCTGTGTTCCACGCACCAGCCGAGAATGGGGAAAGGCCTCGGTACAACGGGATTAAAATGCAGCCCACAGCAGCTCCGATGAAACTTCACACAGGTGGGGAGATCTGTGTGGGGACAGCAAGAACGCTCCCCAAGTGACCAGTGAGACACTGGGTCCCAAGTACGCTGTGAAGACGTCAGCTCACACTAAGCTGCCTGCACGGTCCGTGTAGTCCTGGTCACACGCAAGCCTGGATCTTCGTGTTTGCTTCACAAAAATGTCCAGCTGACGTTTGGCAGAGAAAGTGTGGAGAGCAGCTATGATGCCCAGGAAGAAGAGGCAGACATTTGGCCAGGTTCTGGCCTGGCCCAACACACCGGGCAGCCATCAGTCCATCCACATCTCTGCTCTGCTCCCCAACCATGGACCTCAGTGTCTCTCCCAGGAGCCGCTTCTAAAGCCCTGCCCATCACACTTTTCTGTTCTCATGCTTCGCCAGGGCCAGAAGAAATGGGGATGACCATCCCAGAGGGACCAGGCCCGAGAGGGCTAAAGAGTTCAGGGAAGCCTCATGGAGAACGAACTCGAGCTGGGTGTCAAGAGTCCTGGGACTCACACAGGCGGGTGAGGTGGGGGAAGTGTAGAGGGGCAGAGGCACTGACAGAGGAGGCACTGGGTACCGTGGGCCCAGGGCATGGAGGGCCACTGTGAGCACAGGAAAGTCGGTATGAGGCAAGGTATTCGGGGTTGAATGGGAGCAGCCACATCGACACTGTCAGCTTACTAAATTATTCCTGCAATGTCCTAGCACCTGCCTATTGAGAAATGTGCCTGACCCTTGCTTAATTAGAAGGTAAACCGAGGGTAGTCCCAGGAGTGGGCTTCTGTCCAGGGGACCCACTCTAGAGCAGCACAGCAGGGACCCAGCAGCTGGGTTTAACTGGACCTGGGCAGCCTGCGCCTCCCACAGCCTGGAAGGAGGCAGCCTCGGGAGTCCTAGAGGGCGCACTGCTGAGTGAGGGCCCTGGGCTCTTTCTCCAGGGCAAGGCAGATCCAGGACGGTGACGCAATTTGAAATGGTGAGGACCTCAGGCTGTGGACACAGTGTTGGGTAGGAGAAAGCTTGGTGAGGTGAGAGTTAGCCTGGCTTATGTTCCTCAGTGATCTCGGGGAGTTCACTCAGAAATCCCTCACATACACTTGTCAGTGCAAGAACAAGGCACAGCTCAGTCTTAGTGCCTGAGGCAGAACCTCAGGTGGGAGGCACAATTGGCAGGGGTGTTCAGGTGGTCCACTCGGAATCTGTTACCAGGCCTGGCTGCGGGCAGCAAATGTGAATCAGTTGTCCTTACCTGCCTGTTGCAGAGGGCAATGATGACAGCGATCAGTATCACATTCAGAGCTGCTAATGCCCTGATGATGCATTTGTCTATATACATGCTTTCAAGAACATGTTCTCTGAACTAAAGAAATAAAACAAGAATGATATTAGTTAAAGAGCAGAGACAGGAAGGGTGAATGCTAACCACCAGTATCGGGCTCTTCAGGGGAGCGGCTCACGGGGTCTGGAAACCACAGCACAGCAGAGGGCTGCGCATCCTGTTCTTACACAGCTTATCTGGACTCTCTCTTCCGGGTCAGTTCCTTATTCTCTAAGCAGCGAAGCGGGGGTCACTGTCTCCCCCAAGGCTATTGGGGACAAGACAGCGCTTGGGAGGCCTTGTCTCCCCACTGGGGCGGGGCACGCACACACACGTGGGGTCGCTGTCCTCACCGTCTGAGGCGTCTGCTGTCCCTTCTGCTTGCCATGGGCTTCTGTCCCCTCCATGACCATGGGGTCAGAATACAGCTGCTGCTGCTCCCCCTGGGCCTGGGACACCGTGGCCTCCCGCTGCTCAGTCAGAAGCATCAGCAGGCAGCGAGACTTGGAGATGAGCTTGGCACAGGCGGGGGGCGCGGGGGGCTCAGCGCAGTCCATTTTCAAAATGCTGGTGACCTGGATGATGAGCCTTCTCAGGTTGTCGTCAGGGATGAGCGGCTGCAGCAAGTGATTCAGCCCTGTTTCTAACACAACCCCCAGGGACGGCAGCACTGGGAAGGTGATGTGTGTGGGCATCGAGGCCGAGCCCGAGGCAGAGTCTGCAGCAGACACATGCAGGTCCCCTGGTGCTGACAGGAAGCCTCCTGGAGGGGAGTCCATGAGGCTCCTCAGTGCCCGGAACCCAGGCCTCTTTGCTGGGGTCAGGCCGCTGCGTGCATTTCCCTTGGTGAGCTGTGCCCTCAGGTTGGCCTGGGCTGTTCCGAGGGACACAGGGAAGAGAGTCCCAGCCAAGCAACGACTCTTTTGTGACTGCCAGGCAGGTGGAGTTGCCTTCACTCTTAGCACTCTGTCCCGCCCGTGGTTTAGAAACCGTATGCTGTGGGTGAAGTCTTTTGCTCTGCTTCTCACCACAGGCTGGGCTCTGGAGGTGGGGGACCTGCCCAGCCAGGGAGCCACCAGGGAGGAAGGGGTGGCCGCCCTCTGTCCCTCTGTGAGGACAGAGAATCTGGCTGGGTTCCTGGGCCTGGGGGCCCTCATGACACTGCTCCAGCTCCGTGGCACTGGGGTCCCCGAGGCTGCTTGTGCAAGGGGCCAGGTGACCTCCCTGTCCCTGACCTGCTGCTTCCTCCTGTCCTGCAGCAGCCTTTTACCTGTGTCCTTCAGGCCCCTGAGGACCCTGTCCACTGTGTGCAGCCTTCTTCCTCTCAGGGCCTCCGCCATGCTGTTTTCCTGTGTCAGAGCCCTTCCTAGTGTTCTAGATATTTGGGGCTCCAAGGTGGGACCCAAAAGGGTGGGCTGTATACCCCTGACAGTGTCTTCTTCCTTCTTAACTTCCTCCATTTTTTTCTGAATTTCTACATTTAACCAATTTCTGAGCAAATACAGCTCTTCCAATTTATTTTTGTTGGATTCATGGATAAAGGAGGACTTCTTTATATCCTTTTTTAAAGAATCTGTGTTATCTCCATGAAATGCATTTGGAAAAAGCCTTGCAATGAGTGGCAGTAGAGCTGACTGCACAGCCTCTGGGTTTCCCTCTGAGAGATAGGGCACCATGTAGCTGAGGGCGTCGATCACGTCACTTTGGTCATGAAACTTGAGCTGGTCGCTCATGATGCCCGACCAGGGGGCCACACTTGGCTGAGAAGACGATGTCTTAGGCTCGATGCTCAGCTGGGTACTGGTGCTGTTGTTCCAGGCCTGCAGTGCCTTCCTGAGCGTCCCATCCACGTTCCCCATGGCTGCTGCCTCAACTGCCAGGAAAGAAGAGATGGCCTTCGGTCAGGGGACACTTCTGTCCACAGCCACAGGTCCCGGCCAATACAATAGGGGCCAGGAAATATTCCACTGCCACTTGCAAGGGAGAAAATAAACCCAAACTTAGCCCTATGAAAGGCAACAGCAGAGAGAGAAAAGAGCTCTGGGCAAAGTGGCTCCTATCAGAAGGTCCCATCGAGGACAATGCAGCCACGCTCCGAGGACAGAGTGGAAGACCAGAGTGCCAGGCAGTCGCCCGCTCAGCAGCCACTGGGCAGGTCAGCAGGCTCCTCACCTTCTGACCCCGTACTATCCCTACCAGCTGCAGAGGGAGCACAAGGCCTCCTCTCATGGCTGCCTCCCGTGTGTCACCTTATCGCTGCCAGTGCAGATGACCACAATGGAAGACAGCCTTCCAAGGACAGCGAGGCACACGCGGGAGCAGAGGCCCCTTCTGCTGTCAGGTCTTCACCCGGGCGTGTCCTTCCCACCTCCCACCCATTTCCTTCCCTTGCTCCCTGCTCCTACATTCCACTTCTGGAACAAAAGGCTCTGCCTGGAAATTTATACCATGCTCACCCTGATTCGTTCTCAGATTTGGGCCAGGATCTGCTGTGGAGGTTAAGAAGTTTTTAATTTACACAGTTGTATCTCATGTGAACTAGTGTGGGATAAATCTACAGAATGACCACAATTTCTGGATAAATGTGACTGCTTCCTAAACTGTACAAGACAAAAAACTACTCCTGTCAGATGCCCGCTCACTTCCATTTCCCTTCTTCCATTTCTAGCTGCACTTGGGGAACCACCCAAACTTCTGACTGCACGGAGGTCAAGGGGACCATGTGTAACTGCGTCTCTCTCCCAGGAGAAGTAAGGCCTAGGGTCCTGTGCATCAGAGCAGGTGACAGGAATCAGGAGAAAAGGAGGCGTGTGGGGCTGTGGAGAGCCTGATTTGGGGACAGAGATCCAGGCCCCAGCACTCGACACCCATCTTATTCTCCTCCTCCTCTGTCAATGGAGCCGAGAAACTCTTGTTTTACTCACTTCCAGGAGAGAAGGGAAAATGTAATCAGTGAAAAATTGTTTGAAAAGCAAGCAGCATTGCTTTTATATAAGCACCAAAGTGCTGTGATTTCTTGTGTGTCCCAGAGCACCAGTAGAGTCCTGCACTCCAGCCATCTGCGTGAGCAAGCAGGCACATGTTGGCACCATTCTGTGGCACCAACAAGGCTGATGGATGGGAAAACACCTGAGCACCCCAGAGTCATGTGTGGGGGGAAATCTTGAGACTCAGAGTGAGCTCCGAGGGACAGTGACAGCCTGGGCATGGAAGAACTGCTGCCCTTCCAGGAGCCGGGAGCAGTTTCAGTTGTGGAATCAGAAACTCCCAGCTCCACATAGAATGACATCCCTTATCCTCTTATAAGACTGAAAAATAACACAAAACCAAATAGATCAAGAGCTGTCCCATGAGGCAGCATCACTGGAGAGCCGCTGCACACACAGCCAGCCATCAAACTGCACTGCACCTCAGGACCGAGGAATCAAGGAGGACACCGAGCAGAGCAGCACATGGTCTGTGGCTGAGAACCTGCTCCCTTCCCTCCATTTCTTATTCCTGTTCCTTGTGCATCTGCCACAGTGGTCTGCTTAAATCCCTGGACAAGAACTGAGAATGTGATTGCACCAAGGCAGCAGCCTAGAAATTCAGGCTGCATGAGGACAACTACAGCAAGGACACCATTACTTAAACATGTAATTCCGCCAGCTCAATATCAAAAAGTGAAAACCAAATAAAAATGTCACCATGGGCTCTCAGATTTCTCAGGAGACTCATGGCACTGCATGGTGTTGGACAGACAGGTGCCGTCACAGTGCAGCTTGACTGTCGGGCACACAAGCTCGATATCACTCTTAATTTGGCAGGGGCAGCAGGCCATGTGGCTCGGCAAGATCCTGTGGGCAGAGCACAGAGAAGCGAATTAGCAGAAGGGCTCCTGCAGTGGCAGGAGACACAGGCCAGGCCCCAGGGCCATCCAGAAAAGAGCTCTGAGGCTGGCTGGGCCTGGCACTGGCTGGGCACCTGGGGGCAGAGTGCTGCTCAGGAACACTGGGGATCCTTAGGAAGGAGGCTGAGGTGTCCCACAGAAGGCTAAGCCAGGCCCACAATAAAGGTCAGACATGGGCCCTGGGGCCAATGTGCCGTTTCATTCAGGACCATCTCTTCCTGCTGGAAGGGCTGGCTGTGATGGGCATGCACAGGGAGACAACAGTCTTCTGTGCAGTCTCAGTGAGGCCCTGTCCTCATCCCCGTTAGGAGGGGGAAACACTGCACCTTCCTCTGGGCAGAGAAACATCTCAGTTCTACCTACATTGTGCTGTTCAGCAACTGCAGAGACTGCATGGGTCAAATTGGGCCCCTGTGAGCATTCAACATGTGAGAAGGGCTGGGGCACAGCTCAGGGCAGAGAGCTTGCCTGGCATGCCTGAGGGTCCAGGTTTGATCCCCAGAACCACAGAATAGAAAAGGAAGGAAGGGAGAGAGAGAAAAGGGGAAAATGTAATGTGGAGAGGAACCTGCAAATTCATAATGATCCTCAAAAAGAAAAAGGTAACTGTTCTCTAATAGAGCAGCGGCAGCTAACAAGTGAAGAAGGAATGCCAGAGTTGGAAACTGTCATCTGACAGTCACCCGTGTAACAGTGGATCAGACAAGGGTCATGGCGGATGTGCAGATGGATAGGAAGATGCTTAAGGTCGGATCTTCACTGATCTCCAGTTCTTACCCCCGGGTTCGAAGAGGACAATCACCACCAGGAGGAGCCCTGGAGGATGGCTGCGGAGGAGGCAGCTCTGACTGGGGAGGGGCAGGCGCCAGGTTGGGAGGGTCTGAGTGTGGGGCTGCAGGAGCTCTGGGAGAAGCACAGATCGGAAACCCAGGGGTGCGCACATGGCGTCAGCCAGGGGGTGACAGGCGCAGGGCCCAAGCAGCCCGCTGGCCAGGCCTCTTTCCGCGGGAGCTGCGCAGCCTCCCTCCCCTTGGCTCTCGCACCTCCAGTTTCTCTTTCCCAAGCCTGGCCAGTGTGGGCCGGGGCAGTCATGGGACACACAGCTGTCACCACGGCCCACAGGAGCTGCAGTTCAGTAAACACCTCACACATGGAAATGACCCCTGCCTGCATCACACATACACACGTCTCAACTCAGCATTCAGGCTGACGTGGAGATCCAAATTCCCTCTCAGCCAGGGAAACCAGCAACTTAGTGAGACCTTGAGTCAGAAAGGAACACTCAAGGGCTCGGGATTTAGCTCAGTTTTTCTGCCTCCTGCCTCCCAAACTCAAGGTCCCAAGTTTGATCCCCAGTACCCAAAAAAAGGAAAGAAAAACTGAAAAGGCTGCCATAGACCTAAAGTAACTATCCAATTCTGGGAGGAACCAAAGGAGAAAACCCTTGCACTGTGGGTAGACAGTGTGTGCTTAGACAAACATTTCTTAGGAAGACACAGAAAAGCACAAATCAAGCAAGAACAACCTGCTACATTATACTCCACCAAAGTTTAAGAATTTAAAATTTCTGGTCTTCAGAAAAGAGAAGCCACAACCAGAGAAAAGATATTTACTGAACACTGACCAGTAAAAAAGGACATGTATCCAAGGTACATGAAGCACACCTTGGTCTCATTTCAGTTTTGAGACAGCATCTTGCTCTCTAGTCCAAGCAGCCCTCAAACTCACTATGGAGCCCAGGCTGGGCTCCAGCTCACAGGATCTTCCTGCTTCAGCCTCCCAGAGGGCTAGGATGACGGGTGTGGGCCACCATGTCTGGCAGCAATTGCAGTCCTCACACACCGCTGCCGGAATGTACTAAATATTATGCTAAGTGAACAAAAGGGAGACAGGGAAGACCACTACTGCGCCATCCATCTGTACACTGTGCTGGGAGAGTGAAACTATGGGGTCTGCAGGAAAGACTGGCCGTTTGCAGGGCTGCCGGTGGGAAGTCAGCAGGAGAGCAGTGGGGGCTGCACCACTGTGCTCATTCACCCAACTCTACATGGGAAGACTGAATTTTACTAAATGGTAGTTAGACCTCCAGGAACCTGACTTAAGAAACTAGTAAAACAGGCCCCGCTTGGTGGCCCACACGCCTGTAATCCCGGCACTTGGGAAGCTGAGGCAGGCAGATTGCTACAAGTTCTATACCAGCCGGGGCTACACAGTGAGAGCCTGTCTCAACACCCCCACCAAAAAGGAAAAAAAGAAAAAAAAGTAGTAAAACAAACCTAACAATATGAAAACAAAGTGAAATAAATCTAGGAAAAATAACTTACAGTTTTTGCAACTCCAGAGTCATGGTGAGGATGTTCTCCAGCACTGCAGGGGGCACGTGTGTTGATCCCAAGTCTCTGCAGGAGAAGAGAGATGAACAGTCACCCTGGAAACACCCTGCACTGCAGCAGGCACTTCACGGACATCTGAGGATTTCGCTTTTGCCTTCCTGGTGAAACAAGACAGCGAACAGGTGTATTTATCACAGAAGATAATCCCAGAGACCTCTTCAGGAAGAAACTTAATATTTGCATCACCAAATTCATGACCTTGACATGCACTAGTAGAGCCTGTATTTAAATCATCCTATTTATTTATTTATTTATTTATTTTTCGTCCTCTTATTTTCATAATGCATTTCCCTGTCCCTCTTCCTGCCTTTTGGCCTTTTGATAACAGTGCCTCTGCTTTTGGGGTCAACAACGGCCCTATCCCCTGCACTTCTTCCAGGTCCTCATGTCCCCAGCACCGCTCTCTGCCCTGTGAACTACTCTCCTACCCATCAACATTAGTTCTTAACCCTTCCCTTTGCTAGTAACTTTTTCCCATAACCTTAGTAAAATTAAAATTAGATTCAATGCAGAAATACTTCACCTTTGATGGAAGGAAGCAAGAAGGGCAGAAGCCCGAGTATGAGTTAGATGAGTACTGTAATACTTACAGGTGTTTTAATGCTGGTAATTTAAAAAAAGATGGATCTTCGATAGTTGTCAGAGGGTTATTGTTGAGGACTCTGAAAAATGCAATGGAATTAAAATTATCTATAGTTTCAACATGCATGAGACTACATGAAAAGTTTAAGGCAATGCCTGACCCACACACAGCGCCCTGGGACACCCTGGGCAGAGTCTGCAGCACTGAAGGGCTTCTAAACCACTGGGTGCCCACCAAGCTAGCCGAGTACAGACTTCTGGGCCAACCTGACAAACAATGCTGACATTAAGCGTTTGTTCAGAAAAGTCATCAAATAAACAAACAGGAACTACTACTACCTACCACAGGCAGCAGGAGCATCAAACCTTGGGGGGGGGTGTCTCATTTCCAGAATTCCCACAATCATTATAGTCTTAAAATTGTCCAATTTTCAACCAAAATCGATGAGATCCAAGGAAATAAACTGTGACCCCTAAATGAGGGTAGGAATAGGGGTGGGGAGAGAAAATCTCCCTGAAGCAGCCCAGACACTGGACTTTACTAGACAGAGGTTTAATTCAGCTGTTTAAAATATGTTCAAAGACAAGGTGTGGTGGCACCTGGGAGGCTGAGGCAGGAGGAGAACACATTCAAGGCCAGCCTGGGATACACGGTGAGTTCCAGGACAGCTTGGACTGCATCGCCAGACCTGGCCCTCAACAACAACAGCAACAATGACAAAATGTTCAAAAGGATAAAGAAAAACATCTAGTCCTGTAGACTAAAGAAGAAAGGAAAATAGTGAAAGAAACATAAAAAGAGTCACTCCAATTCACGTCCCTGAAGTGACCTCTCTGTGCCAGGCTGAGGACTCCCCACCTTGAATCTGCCCTTGAGGGATAAACACCCTAATCTGAAGTATTTGGACAAGGACTCTGCCCACTCCCAGCCAGACCTGGGAGCAGACTTCTGCTGAGACACATACGCCTTGCTGCCATGCGGCCGCCTGTGTGCAACACGATATATAACCAGCGGGGAAAGGCGGACTTTGGGAGACTCAGAGCTGCGTGCAGGGCTTGTGCCCAATGGGACTGGACCAGTCGGGTCGGGATTTTCCGGTTGTCCTCGGATGTTGAGCCGAGTGGCTGTCCCGGCTGGTGACGTGTTGTGTTACTTCTATCTGTCCTATTTTCCTTTTACTGTTCTTACTGCTTAACCCTTTAATAAAGCTGTCTTCATTCATGCTTTCGTGTGGCTGCTGAGACTCTTTCAGGTTTGATCCTCAGTCTAAGGGGTGCACCTGGGTAGCTTGCTACAACAAATAGGAGAAGGATATCTCATTAAACAGAGAATACCAAAAGAGAAAAAATGATAAAAAGAAGCCAGACAGAATTGTGGATGTGAAGTGTATGGTAACTGAGACAGAAATTCACTGGAGCATCTTCATGGCTGGGCTGAGTTGGCAGAAGAAAGAATTGAGGATGTGGAGGTCCACTGAGATCACTGAGCCTTCAGAACAGAAAGGAAGAAAATGAAGGCAGATGGAGGCTCAGAGACTTGCTCATGGGACTCCATCCAGACACGTAGCTCAGACCCAACAAACGAAGGAAGGAAGGAAGGAAAAAGAGAGGAAGAATTACCAAAAACCTCTCAACTTAAAGAAAAACACTAATCTACCTTTCAAGGAGCTCCTGGAACTTCAAATAGGGAAAACTCAAAGAGATCCACAGCTAGACACATCACTCAAAACATTAAAGTCAAAGAGAAAATATCTTCATGGTAGCGAAAGAACGCAATTTAGCATATGACAGGTGTGTTGGATGGAGTGGGTTGGCAGTGTACTTGTGCCAGAGGAGGTAAGGGTGTGGGAAACCTGGCCAGCGGAGTAGGCGTGACCTGTTAATCACAAGATCCTGGAACACAAGCACAGAACAGTTCCCAAAGCCCTGCACATGGGGTTCTCGCAAGAACTCGAGCAGGTTTTTAATAGGATGCCCAGACCTGACACCAGCCTGAGGCGAGGGACCCCAGCACTGCCTCTCGGGACTGTATGTGGAAGTTCTCACAGGTTTTCTGGAGATTTGGGCAGTGTGAAAGGACACAGGCACCAAGAGGAGCTTGCTGTCATGGCTTTCCTCACGATAGCCCACCTGCTTTCTCCAGGATGTTCTTTTGTCTTGCTTTTTCCTCTTTTGCTTGGGCCAAGCTCACTCTCCAGAGCCACTTTCTCTCTCACTCTCACTCTTCACTTTTACTTTTTAAAATAAACTTTTCCTGTTGTTTTTTTTTGGTATGGGGGCTCGAACTCGGGTCCTTGCGCGTGCGAGGCAGGCAGCGGAACCCCTGAGCTAAACCCCCGGCCCCTTTGCCCCTTTTTTTGCTCATTTTGGCCAATTCTTTGTTCAAGATGAGAAGAACCTGGTATCAAACTCCAGAAGGAAGCAAGCAACCCAGAACTAGGTAAAGTTGATTTGGTGAGACATTTTTAGAAGCAGCTACCTGATAACATTTTGGCATAGTTATCCAGGAGAATCAAGAACCAAGAGATTCTGATAACCCTTGCACAAGGCCTGGATTCAGTACCCAGGGTACACACACAATGGTGAGGCACTCACACACAGTGCAGGAGGGGAGGGGAAGCCTCCTAAGATTAACAGCTGATTTCTCATCAGAACAATGGAGAGGAGGAGGAGGAGAAGGGCCTGATGTGCTTGCTCACACCTGTAATCCCTGCACTTGGGAGGTGAGGCAGGTGGATCGCTGAGACTTCAAGGCCAGCCTGGGCTACATAGTGAGTTTCCCGCCAGCTTGAACTGCATAGCGAGAACTTGCCTCAAAAAAAAGAAAAAAGAAGAAGAAGAAGGTAGTAGGTGGCATATTTGAAGTACTGAAAGAAAACAAAACTATCACTTTTTAAAATAAGGGACAAAATAAGACAGTCCCAAATAAACAAAAACTGCTGAGAGATTGTTAGTAGAAGATAGGAGTGCACATTTGCGCCCAGGCTGACCAATTTAGTCACTTAATGAGACCTGTCTCAAAATAAAAAATAAGGCTTGGTGATGCTGCTCAGGGTAAAGGCCCTGGAGTTGAGTCAACAGTACCACAAAAGGAAAGAAAGAAAGTGGGCTGGGGATTTAGATCAGTGGTGCCACCACCTCTCTCAAAAGCGCAAGGTCCTAAATTCGATCCCTGGTACAAAAAAAAGAAAGAGAGAGAGGAAGGAAGGAAGGAAGGAAGGGAGGAAGGGAGGGAGGAAACTCTAGCATTGACATCCTATCTAGATTGGCTGCCCAGAAGGGCCTGGCCAGGAACTCCAGAAGTGTCAAATCCTTAGAAGGAAACAGAGCTCTGCTTTGAAGATCCTACTCCAGTCAGAAAACTACCTCAAGAGACAAAGCACCAAAAGCCAGATGGCTACCAGGCAGCCCCGACTACAGTGGAACAAAGCTGTGTAGAAAGTGTTTGCCAAGCCCCCCGAGTGACCTGGCACTCATTCGCAGTGTGAATAGCCCTGGAATCCAGGTCTTTGGGGTCAACTTTCTCCTCTGCAGAGCGGAGGCCATGACACCAACATGGCAAGACATGCTTTGACAATGAAAATGGAGTAACAAGTTTTGAGGATTCGCCATGGGTCAAGCAGGAGTCTGAGAACTGCCAGCCCATTGTCTGACCTGTGAATACACCTAACGTCAGGTCTGGAGCATCCTAAACACCTCCCAGGTGTAGCTATTATGGAAATGCCATGGCAGGGGAGGAAGTCCTGAGCTTCCAACAGCAGAGGAGCCGACTCGCTGTCCAGAGAGGATGAGATGCAGCTGGGAGAAGAGGGGCACTACAGATGCAGGGCAGGGCATCCTCCAGCTTCAGAACTGTCATAAAATGAAACCGCCAACTGGGTCAGCCTGAGGGACACACCGGGGTGCTGTGTATGTCTCTAGTGCAGTGCCTCTGGATCTGAGCAGATGCAGCCAGGGCTCCAGGGTGGATCTGCAGTGATGCCAGGGCCTGAGTGGTAAACTTGTGCCGCTCCCTTTGGCATCCCCAGGAAAGGAGGCCAGGCTGGCAGGAGCCAGAAGTGTCCTGGGAGGGCAGGTCCAAGGCAGCTCTACACCTGGGCTGGGCGGGCCTGGGGGATTTCTGCAACAGGGAGAAAGCTGGGTTCTCCTCTTTTGCTCCTCAGTGCTTCCATTCCTGGCATGATACAGACGCTCCGCAGCCAGCCATCTCGAGAGTGTGACTGAGTCAGGGAGCTGGGATTGCAAAGCCTGCGCTCTCTAAACACATGGAGCCTGCATGCTTAGGATTGGAGGAGTGAGCAAAAGAATTTGCAAACATAGCCACGGGTCTGGATTTCGTGGGTGAGTGAAGGGAAACACTTTAAAGTAGGGCAGCTGGGCATGGGGGCTGAGACCTGTAATCCAAGCACTCTGGAGCCTGAGGCAGGAGGATTGCCAGGAGTTCGAGGCCAGCCTGGACTACATGGTGAGACCCTGCTTAAAAAAGCTACAAGAGGAGGGGGCTCTTGCAATGGGGAAATGGTCCAAGGGAACAAGGTGACGGGTGAGCAGAGGGGCAAGTGGAAATGAGATGAATAAAGACATGCCATGTATGGGAGCCCAAAAACCCCAATTAATGGAAACATTATAGGCCACAGCATGAGCTAAGACAAAAAAAATGAACAGGAATGAAAAATGGGACAGGGGAACTGGAGGAAGAGTAGGAGGAGGAGGAGGGGGCGGAGCAGAAGGAGATTAAAAACAAGAAGGGAGAAACGTCCTGTAAGGTGTACATGTAGCCACTCCCCAAGACCAAAGTAAACTAAAGGAAATGCAAATATGTACAAATACAATGAAGACATTTTTTTTAAAGTAGGGGGGAAAAGTATCCTTCACAATCAGGATTATCCCCCACCGCTGCTTTTCTGTGACATAGTTCATTAAAAGAGTTACGACAAAAATTTTTTTAAAAAAAACAGAGTTATGACTAGGCCAGGGATATTGCTCAGTGGTTCTGGCACCTGCCTTGCAAGTGCAAGGTCCTGAGTTCGATCCTGGGTACAGAAAAAAAAAAAAGAGTTGTGACCATTCCATCCCTCAGAGTGGTACTTTATTAAGAGTTCCTGGCAGATCTCGGCAGTGGATTTCAGAATCAAACAGGATCCCCCAATTCGAGCTGACCGCTGTCAGTGTTTGGCAGCAGCACCAGGGTTTCAGTCAGGAGATTTACTGGCTTGTAATTCCCTGGGACACAGGGAAAATGCAGACTGAATGCAGGCTGAATTCATCTACTTTGGGGAGTGCCCTCAAATAAAAACCTGTATTCGGTATGAACGTACAAATCGGCCCAGTGAGCAGGCTGGATGGGGCCTGTGCAGGGGAGGAGCCCGGATGGCAGCCTCCATTCCATCAGTGATGAATCTACCACCTCTGGGCCAGGAAAAGGATTTCAATGTAGAAACACCCACGGTGACAGTGCTGGGTCACACTGGCTGCAGGAGGCCTGGCTTCTTCCCTTGCCAACTTGCCTTTGGGAAGAGATGCATGAGGCGCCTGTCTCACTGTGGCAGAAGTGAGCTCAGCTTGACCCAAAACAACAGTGCCTCAAGCCCAACACCCACCTGGTGGGTTGTGACCATTGTGCCAATCTTTTCTTTTTTCGAGAGTGGTCTTCCCTATGTCGCCCAGGCTGTGGGCTCCAGCAGTCCTCCTGCCTCAGCCTCCTGAGTAGCTGGGACTACAGGTGCCTACCACACCTGGCTCACCATGCCAATGTTGGGAAGTCACCAAGTTAGCTTTCTAGGTACAGCTCCATTGAGATCACATAAGTATTAATGTCCCAAACCAGTCAGCTCCTGTCATCTCATCACCCGGAAGCAAAAGCTTTCTCTCTTAGAAGACAACACCTTCCTGGCTCCTCCATGATGGGTCTTTTCTAGCCCACT